GTTCTCACTTTAAATTGTGGTACAAACGTATGGTCGTGAAGTACAATGAAGTGTGGTGCGAGAAAACTACATCTAAAGACAATATGAAATATTCACTGAGAATAGAATCACGCGAATGACTGGACAATGATATAGTCGTTGGGTTTGTTGGTAGGATCTGCAGTTAAGAAATTGTCATACACACAGGAACAGACTGCGTCCTTTTTGTTTGACTTGTTCTCGTACAAGGTTCATTTTTAAAGATTTTACTGTTATTTACGTAGATTTACATTTAGAACTTAAAATGGAATGTTCACGACTCGAGCTAGGCACTGAGTTGGTCCCATTGACGTACCAAAGGAGAAAATGGATTTTGTCACGTTCGCCGAACAATAATGACAAAAAAGATGTTTATAATATTTGTGATGATCAGTTTGATTAAATACAACACCTGAATCAGCATGCATGTTTGTTTCACCTGTGTGTGCATTTGTACATAGACTTAATTAACTAATATCTCAACTACCAATATCCTAAACGATTATACAGAAGACGTGCACGTGAATAACATCTTTCAATACAAGTTTAGAAATTAAATACAGTAAGAAATGATAATGAATGACACAGCATTCACCCATAATTCAAGAAGATCTCGTAATTTGAACCACGATACTTAACGGATAGAGGAAAACATTGGAATAAGCGATAGGTTATAAAGATATCTTATTATATAATTGTAGTGATGTGAATAGAGGATAGTTTCTATTCCATGACACAGTGAGTTCTAGGTGAGAAACATATGTCCACAAGGAAAGCAGAATCCATAACGTTAAATATTGCATGAGTAACACTTCTATTCAATGATACAGATAGACAGTTTAGTTTTAGCGTGTATCATTTCATTATAAATGGAATAGACAGGAACATTTATTATTTCGCTAGAAGAGGAGTTTTATACCCTTTATATCCCAGTCAAACAATTTATTTTCCACGACACAATATGACGCAGTTTCAAAGAGAAGATAGATATTTGTTTTCTTATGATAGAGAAATCGGAGACCATCGAGTTTAGACTTTTATTTAGGATAGCTATTTATCACTTCACAGTCGTTTGTGGACCGGATGTCATGATATGTGTAATCCTGCCTCTGATGAGGGTATAATATATCATTATAATTTTCATTATACCACGATTATTTTTAAAATGTCCAAGTGTATTTGAAGTAAATCAAAGAAAGTAAACAACCAGGCCCCACTTGTATAAAACATCTCAACTTGAGATTTCCTCAAGTCGAGAATTTCCTCAGCTGATATCTCCTCAAAAACGGCTTGTATAAAATTTTCTCAAGGAACAGGAGGAAGGCATCGTCTAGGATGTCCTGAAATTCCTAGAGGAATTTTTATACAAGCCGTTTTTGAGGAGATATCAGCTGAGGAAATTCTCGACTTGAGGAAATCTCAAGTTGAGATGTTTTATACAAGTGGGGCCTGGTTGTTCCTAGAGGAATTTTCATACAAGATATTTTCAAGGAGATATTAGCTGAGGAAAATCTCGACTTGAGGAAATCTCAAGTTGAGATGTTTTATACAAGTGGGGCCTGGTTATCACGTGGTACGGTCAAAGGAAATTCTGGCATCTAATTCAAAGGAGTATTTGTCATGATATACTTAATTATAGACTGTGATATATAATATAAAGTGTAATGTGACCCATTATAGAATACATAATCTGGGTAATACCGGAACCAGCGCTGTCTTATATGAAATTATATATTCTATAAAAACATAATGATACTAGAAACGAATAAAATCACCCGTGTAGCCAGTTTGCTATACTACCAGCAAACTGCCCGTTGCCTGTTTGTTGTGAAAAGGCGATATAAAATGATAAATGTTCAGGGTTAGAGGAACGTATCATGCGACATACCATTTTATTACATTTTCGCCCATGAAATAAAAGAAAATATTCATAAGCATCACTGACTGGTCCGATAAGAACGAAGCAGCTTCATGATACATTTTAATATCAACGTTGTGCTCTACGGTATCGAATTCTAAATTTGTATTGAAAGGTTCTATAAGCTTGTGTGACTTTTGTATATTCTTTGATAAAAGCTATCACCACTGCAGTGATGATGATAAACCTTATATCATCACATAATTTTGACCAATCAGAACGGGGCTTTCTATTCATTCCCCGGTTGTTTGGTGGCAAATAAATCGAAGGTTGAATAAAGGGAATTTATCATAAGGCCTTTGTTTCCTAAAATACTCGTATCGTATTACTTTTTGGCTTGGACTTTTAGAACCGAATAGCGTACTGTTGTATACTGCATAAACTGACCAATAAAAACGACATGATATCATCAAACATAACGTCATAACTATCTGTTTTCCGCCCAATTTTCACACTGATGTGTTTCATGTCTATATACATTTTTTACCTATAACACTTTTTAATATAACGGTTCTCATAGAATACCATATATATTTCACTCGCATGACAAACTAAATCGATATTTTTATTCCTCTTTCGCACTCGTAAGAAAATAACTATATCCTGTCATGATATATGATATCAAAAGAGAATGTTCAAATATCCTCTATTTATCTGTGATATTTATGTAAAGTTTCTAACAATGGACTATAGAGTGACTGAACACACACCAGACGTAAAGGAGATCAGTGCTGAAGATAATGTCCATATTCCTATAGAATTGCAAATCTAAGTTTTCTTTGGACCCTTTTAAACGTTGGACTCCTGAAATGCTAGTTTAGAGTTTCTGGCGCACCATACGTCAAATTGTTTTTACGTTGTAGTGGATTTAACCCCAGCACAAGGGGAGTATAATGGGAATATATCAAGGAAGTGCCATTTCAATATCTTATCAATTAAAACGCAAAATTGACATAGATCCTGAAACGCGGATATCCAATGACGAATGAAATGTACCGACTTAATCAAACATTATTCTGTATCCTGTTTGTTTTAGCAGTCAACGCATTCTATATTGAAGTTTGTTTTAGTCAATCCATTCAAAGGTCATCATGACATTTTGAAATTGAGTTTGTTTTTGTCAATCCATTCAAACGTCATCTCGACATTCTGTACTCCAGTTTGTTTTTGTAAATTCATTCAAACGTCATCTCGACATTCTGTACTCCAGTTTGTTTTTGTCAATCCATTCAAACGTCATCTCGACATTCTGTACTCCAGTTTGTTTTAGTCAATATATTCAGACGTCATCTCGACATTCTGTACTCCAGTTTGTTTTTGTCAATCCATTCAAACGTCATCTCGACATTCTGTACTGCAGTACGTTTTAGTCAATATATTCAGACTCGACATTCTGTACTCCAGTTTGTTTTAGTCATTTCGACGTCATCTCGACATTCTGTACTCCAGTTTGTTTAAGTCATTTCGACGTTATCTCGACATTCTGTACTCCAGTTTGTTTTAGTCAGTCTATTCAGACGTCATCTCGACATTCTGTACTCCAGTTTCTTTTTGTCAATCCATTCAAACGTCATCTCGACATTCTGTACTGCAGTACGTTTTAGTCAATCTATTCAGACGTTATCTCGACATTCTGTTCTCCAGTTTGTTTTAGTCAGTCTATTCAGACGTCACCGCGACATTCTGTACTCCAGTTTGTTTTTGTCAATCCATTCAAACGTCATCTCGACATTCTGTACTGCAGTACGTTTTAGTCAATCTATTCAGACGTCATCACGACATTCTGTACTCCAGTTTCTTTTAGTCAATCTATTCAGACGTCATCACGACATTCTGTACTCCAGTTTGTTTTAGTCAATCCATTCAAACGTCATCTCGACTTTCTGTTCTCCAGTTTGTTTTAGTCAGTCTATTCAGACGTCACCGCGACATTCTGTACTCCAGATTGTTTTAGTCAATCCTTTTAAACGTCATCACGACATTTTGTAATTGAGTTTGTTTCAGTAAATCCATTCAAAGGTTATCGCGATATTCTGTACCCCAATTTATTTTTCTCAATCCAATCAAATGTCAACACGACATTTTGTACTTGAGTCTGTTTTAGTCAATCTACTCAAACGTCATCATGACATTTTGTCCTTGAGTTGGTTTCAGTCAATGGTCATCGCGACATTCTGTACCCCAATTTGCTTTAGTCAATCCATTCAAATGTCATCACGAGATTTTGTAATTGAGTTTTTTTTAGTCAATCCACTCAAACATCATCATGGAATTTTGTCGTCCAGTTTGTTTAAGCTAATACCATTCGTGTAATTGACCATGTGGATATTTCATTTAACGGATTTAACGACCCCTATTACGGCCTCTCAGTCTTTCAGCAGACGGGTATGCAGTAAAATAGAAGATACCCTTTTCAGTTTGAACAATACCTTATTTTCAGATGTGTTGCAGCTATTCCTTTATGCTGTCAGCCTTACAGTATAATCAGGGTACCCTAGATGACAGGTAGATTGTGATACCATCTCCAGGATTTATGCAATAAAGACCTATTCTTTCAAAGCGCCCAAGGGAGAATATTTGGAAAATTAGATCTGACAATAGTATTGGATCAACTGTAATATATTGCTTCAATGCCAGCTTTAGTGAAAAAATGTCTAAAGTCTAAAGTAAGACAATGGTTTTCCTGACAGTTGATCACTCAATCTTATAACTGAATTATATCGACAGCATGACATAAGAGCTTCTACACGTGCTTTAGCAGTCAACAACCTTTACGATGCTACTACGACTAAGGAATGTCACTTTTGAATTTATCATTGAAAACTGCCACTTAGATTTTGTAAAAATCACAACAAAGTAAAAGACATACGTGGTTTGGTTGCTGCTTATTAATCGCCAGACAAAAAATGGAAACAGAACCCGAAATGTGTCTATGATTCCGAACTAGTGCCGGAGCCCACTACATTTGCAGGAAACAGACGGAAAGCTCGAACCTACTGTACTAAAATACAACTGCAACTTTGGTCACGTTATGAGACGAATGAAAAATGACAAAAACAATTAATTAAATGAGCAGTAACTTTATTGAGACAAGTCACGGATAAGTGTCTGATGTTTAAGACATTAAAAAAGACAATATGCATTATATACAATTGTCTGCTATATTATAACTATAACTAGCGTTCTTACAATGCGTATGAACCATGTATCACATACATGCCTTTGACAAATATATCGAACACATACCTTTTCAAAACATTTATCACACATATATGCCTTTTAAACGGATATATTACACATCTTCATTATACATCACATTTGCGCAATTGTACAACCTTTTAAAATATCACCGGACACATCTATAATGCTACGCATTCCAACCTCTCTTATCCTAAAGCCCCTTGCCAATTTTCTTATCTAGTTATAGAGCCACCTATCATTCTTACTCTTACGTCAACCTCCCCAAGTCTAATAATACGTCAACCCTATCGATATCCCTCTTAACACACAGTTCTTTCCTCTGAATAACTTCATTATACTTATAATGCTTTCATCTCCAAATATAGACTGTGTTCCCATTCTCTTCACACTTGGACTCAATGCTCCCAACCTCTCCACATAGACAAGTAATGCTTTCAGTCTCTCCACACATAGAATCATAATACATAACGGTCTCAATCTCTCCACACACACTCAGTGCTCCCAACCTTTCCACATAGACACGTTTTGCTTTCAATCTCTCCACACATATATTCATAGTACGTAGGGGTCTCAATAGCTCCACACCTAGATTTGTAATGCCCCAACTTCACACACACAGAATCATAACGTTCCCATCCTTCCATACACACATAATTCGTTCCCATCCACACGACTATGAAATTTCCGGCCTCGCCCCTCATCCATAACGTTCACGTCCTCGCCCATTATCTATAACGTTCACGTCCTCGCCCCTTATCTATAACGTTCACGCCCTCGCCCCTTATCTATAACGTTCACGTCCTCGCCCCTTATCTATCACGTTAACGTCCTCGCCCCTTATCTATAACGTTCACGTCCTCGCCCCTTATCTATAACGTTCACGCCCTCGCCCCTTATCTATAACGTTCACGCCCTCGCCCCTTATCTATAACGTTCACGTCCTCGCCCCTTATCTATCACGTTAACGTCCTCGCCCCTTATCTATCACGTTAACGTCCTCGCCCCTTATCTATAACGTTCACGTCCTCGCCCCTTATCTATAACGTTCACGCCCTCGCCCCTTATCTATAACGTTCACGTCCTCGCCCCTTATCTATAACGTTCACGCCCTCGCCCCTTATCTATAACGTTCACGCCCTCGCCCCTTATCTATAACGTTCACGTCCTCGCCTCTTATCTTTCACGTCGACGTCCTCGCCCCTTATCTATCACGTCAACGTCCTCGCCCCTTATCTATAACGTTCACGTCCTTGCCCCTTATCTATAAGTTCACGTCCTCGCCCCTCATCCATAATGTTCACGTCCCGACCCCTCATCCACGTTCACGCCGTGTGACATTAAGGTATTTCAATGTTTTGTTCAATGGGTTTGCAATAATGTTACAAAGTATCTAAAGTACTAAAACTGTAAAAATATGGTTGTTCCGTTTTATTTTTAAAAAGGATAAAAACTTTCAACACTCAATGTTGATTTTTGTTTGTGATATAACACTTCAACAAATGCCAAACATGCTCTTTAAATATTACAGAACTAGAATAAATGCAAGTTTGTTTATTTACCCCTACAATTCATTACAATGATTTAATCATTAATAAAGAATATTATTTATTATAATGTCATAATATCACCACATTCATCTGCCACATTCACCCAGGTCTCAGAGGCGCTTGGCGCCAATACAAAAGTTCACGCACATTCACATAACTTACAATATACTGAAACTATCATTATTTGCTTTATCTGAAAGACTTTGAAGATGAACCAACATTCGTAATTGTGTAGACTGTACAAAGCATAGTTGTAACAGGCGTCGTTGTGTATACGACTCATTATATAGACTTATTGTAGACTCGTATCTTAGACTTATTCTACTGAATTATTGTGTCTTGAAGTGTTGCGTAGAACTTTTAAGTTATTATGCTTTGTGTGTACATGGAAAAATAAGATAATTTTCTTGTGTTTTCAATATGATTAAAGAATCTATGACGTAACTTAGATTCTTGTCTTTGTTTAATGATTTCAGGAAATATAGCAACCAACTGGTCAATACCTTGACATACAATGATCCAACAAACATATAATAGTATATGCAACAGGTCATCGCAACCGGAGGAAGGATGAGGTTAAAGATGAACAATATATAAATCGTATTTATAATAGACTTTCAGCACTTTCATATGTCAAGCACTTGTCAAATGCATCTTTCGGGCACATTTGTGGTAAAAAATTACATTATATACAATATATGGACGACAACCAAGGATTACATATAGATGCAAATGCATCAGTTATTGCACAAAGAAAGCCAATATGATATATTATATACACAGGAACTCTGAAGAAATGAGAATTATGAATGGTCTAACAAGCATAAAATTAAAAAAAGATATATGCGTAACATTTTTATATATTTTAACATTTAAGAGCCATGGCTCATGAAAGCACCAATCTTTGCCGACATTTTGTATCTGTTTCCACATTCATAAAATGCATAACAGTCATTTATCTTTCATCACTGATACAAAATGCGCTTGTTTCGGCATCAAACGACAAAATAATAACAGAACACATCATGTCTATATCCCATGCGTTACAAATAACTCTGACAAATTTTGACACCCTCTTCCACTAGGTGACGTGCGATACATCAGAACGTCACTAACATTGGCCATCATATGTGTTCTATTTCGTCACTGTCACTCCTGCCAAACATGTTTTTTCACGCTATTGTCATCCACTGGACTCCATGGGTTGCAGTTCTTCATCATTTGTATTATGTACATGAAGAACTACCTGTACAATTTGGGATTAATGTTATCTATACCAACATAACAACCATAGTACTCACTGTAGAAGGACATCTTTTCGCGGCAAACTGATTGATAAATTCATAGACAATAAGTCTGGGGATTTAAAATATCACAGTAGGAAGACGCCATATTTCTGTATCTATAAATAACGTCACATGAATACGTCATCATATCAATTACTTAAGATTGTGTTTTCCATATCACAACAGATGTTGATAATGCATATCAACAACACTTAGTGAATCTGATTTTTAGTGAGTCCCGTTTTTTTCTGCGATACATCAAGTGATATCTATGTCTTTTTCGAACTTTAACAAACCGATAGTTGGTTCATATGTTCCTGCTAAATAATACACATCCTGTTCGTCTCCGTTCCCACACTTTCTCTTTAATTCCTTTTGTCGCCTACAAAACTCCTTGTATGAAAGTACGTCACACTTGTGTGAAATAGTCTGTACATCGTTCTCGTCGATGTGAAGTGACTGGAACAAGGCACCCTGCAAAAACGACGAGTTCATAATTTAAGATAGAAAAGGATATTGTAAATATTTAACAAAAAATGTATGAATAGTTTAATTTGTCTAGTATTTTTTATTCATTTAAACCTTTCTTCAGTTTTTATTTTGCTGTTTTACACTTTGTACCTTCATATCTTGTAGCTTCTTCCCTCCCCTTGTTTCCTCTGGATGGTAAAACCACTTGACTTTGACAACCATCTGACCTCCCCAAGCCTCCCACATACTGTCAATGCGACCAATATATGGCAGATGTGGTCTTCCGGTGGAGAGAAATACTGCGCAGTCACCAACCTGAAAGTTTCGGTTTTTAACATCAGTACATGTACTTAATTATCATTTATGTTAAACTATAAATGCATTGTGGAGCTAGTGCGAAACACCTATTTTTTCGACTTTGACATGTCTTTCGATCAATTTTAGTTTGCAAAAGTCGCCTCCAAGGTTTCAAAATTTAGACCGGAGCATCACTGACGAGTCCTAGAAGGACGAAACAGCTGTATGATTTAGCATCACTGACAAGTACTAGAAGGATGAAACAGCTGTATGATTTAGCATTACTGACGAGTCCTAGAAGGATGAAACAGCTGTATGATTTAGCATTACTGACGAGTCCTAGAAGGATGAAACAGCTTATGATGCAGTTCATTTCCTTATTAGACTCTGCTTTATCTAACTCTGAATTTATATTGAACTAGTAATTTACTTTAGCGTCTTTTGTACCAGTCAGAAAATATGTTTCCATTCATTTGAGTTGGGGAACAGTTCAGACTATACCCATTTGAATCATTACATCTCCGAAAATAAAAAAAAACTGATTTAGATATGAGGCTAGTGTCTAGATATTTATAAATTTCTTTTGACCTACATTGTTTTCCTAAGTCGTCTCCTTGATTTCATAATTTAAATCTGAAGGATAACTTACAAGTAGGGACGAAAAGCTATATCACGCAGTTAACTACAATACTTGGCTCTACTGTATCTAATTAGTTAGTCTCGTTTATTTAAAGGTGTGCCGTCAGTACAATCTTTTCTTACAATGGTGGAGAATATCACAAAGTATATTATCGATGACTCCTTAGGAAATCTTGCTATGCCAGTGTATTAAAAGGAAAATACTCATAAACCTTTCAAATATTATCTTAACTATATAGCTAGCGCTGTGATTTCCTTGACTCCAAGTCCCTGCTTTGCTCTTACCAAAATATTTTCTCGGCCTCGGACTATAGCCTTGTAAAATTCCTTTTTGGCTTTTCCTTTGAGACCGGGCCGCTTTGTACATTTTCCCGACCACCGCCAGAGCTGCCTTGCAGGAAGAAATGCTGCAATACATAGATTGAAAGTGATAATATGGACCTATGATCTACCGATAGGTCCCATACTTAATCATGCAAGAAACTCACTATTTGATAAAACTATAAAAATAAACGATACAACCAAACATGAATTATTAAATAATAATAAAGAGTAAATTAAACCACAATTCAAACATCGTTTGTTTCCTCTCTTCTCCATCAAATGAACTCATCAGCATCAACCAATGTATAAAAATATGTATACGTGAACTTAATATTAAAATTTATCTCTGATTTACTCAATTCGGTAGATAAGGAGAAGGGAAACACATTTTCATTGTGATTTAACCATTATTTTGCATTGATGATCTCGCTTACCAATATTATAAAGATGAAGATGATCAGGCAAGTAGATAAAATGGTAGCGATGGATATAATTTCCTGAACAAAATTATTTCCATGCTATTATTTCCATCCTTTAAAACATTCTTGATACATGCAGATTTTCTTTCCGAAGAGCAATATTTCATACAGTCATGTCTATGATAGCACAAACAAATGCGACTAATGAAAGGAAGATAAATGCTAAACTATATATATATATATATCTCCATTCCCGAGTAAGTTGTTTTTGTATATTACTACACACAGGAAGCAGGATACAAAACCAGCACTTGACTATAGTCATACCAGTAAGAATTCCGTTTACACCGATATATCGATGGTCAAATAAAAGTTAATTCCGCTTACAACGATATATCGAAAAACATATAAGCGTTAATTCCGCTTACACCAATATATCGATATATATTGGAAAGAAAATTCCGCTTAAACCAATATATCGGTAATTATCTGAGAAAGAATTCCGATAACACCGATATATCGACATATCTGGGCGAAAAACGATATTTACACGTGGTAATGACTAAACGTAAATATCGTCCACATAGTTCTGGTGACGTCGTGCCAAAGTTCATGCTGCAAGGTTATACACAATATATATCAGGAATCATAAATATTGACACAGAAATCACTAAAGCTTGTCATGACAAAAAGAGGCAGCACAATTACACAAGCAAATATGCAAGCATGATATACAAGTATGATTCATTCTCCGTTACATTTTACGAGCACATCATGAGCATTACACGACTTTTGTTATTTGATTACAGCGTGGCCATCACGCTACATCAAGTCCTAGATCTTCCAATAACCCATAGTTCATATAAAAGCTAATCACGTCACCTTTTGTTTCCGTTTCCACCGAATGTTGTTATGTAATTAATGTTTCAAAAACGTGAAATAATTGCTAGCTTACACATACTGGGATACAATGGCAAATTACCCAACAATTTGTTTATTAATCAAAATTAAGGCAGGTTCAGTTTGTTACACAGTGAAGTTTAAGCGTCTATGTTTTCTTTCAGCAAATGTCTTTTTTTAAAGCATTAAGCGAAAGCATATGTGAATTTTATTGTCAATGTGACCTTAAGTTTTACTGAATACGTACTAACAACATCCCTCCGAGAATTCCAACACTAGAAATATGTGGGGGTCGGATATTTGCATAGAATATTGCAACATTGCTAAGCAAATGAACAAAAAGCAGATTTCGCATATCGGTTTTGATTATGAAAGTCCAAAAAGAAAGGCAACTATTTGTTATAATTGTTTAAATCGAAAATGTAATTTTCGATCGTACCTGCGATTTTGCTTTTACTCTCAGTGGAAAGTGATCTTTTTGTGCACTTGGGTTTGGCTTGATGTCCTGAAGTACTAGCGTCTTCATCAAAGGAATAAATATCACCATCCCACTGCTGATAATCGTTTTCACTTTCCACAAACAAATTGTCAATTCTACTTTCACTTTTGTTCCTATTTAGAATATGGAGGGATCCTGAAGATTTGTACTCAAATGTAGCTGCCTTTATCAAAGAAGTGACATGAATGTTTTTACTTTTGATGCTAGAATCCTTACAATGATATCGTGTTTTACCTTGATCAGAGCTCCTCGAACCATCATCAGAAACATCATCACTCCCATCCGAAATATCCGATTCCCTACAATCATCGCTACACTCCTTGTCCTTTTTGCGTTTCTTCTCACTAGCTTTGATCTCCGACTTAGAGTCTTTACCAGTACCATTCGAAGGTCGGTCTCTTTTCTTTTGTTTAGTATCAGACTCTTTAGCATTGCTGGATGACTTTGCCCTTTCCTTACGGAAATTTTCCATCGAGAAACCATTGTTAAAGACGTCATCACGATCTTCATCAAATCCACATACATCGACTTCTTCCTCCTCGTCTTCGTCTGCTGCAGAAACGTCGCTCTGTTGGCCTGCATCGTCTTTCTTCAGCTTAGGAGGTCGACCGGGACCTCGTTTTGTTTTCGGAGCAGGCTCCGAAGACTTTTCAGAGCTGTGGGATTTCCGAGGTGTTTCCATGCTATCAGAGGTCGTGTGTCGACGTCGCTTCCCTATCAGTAATAGTGGATTAGGGTCATATGCTGCAAGGCAAGCCAATAATTCGTTTTATGAATGTATATGAAAAAGGTATTATATCCGCTTATAAAGCAGCATACTTTCAATTTTGTCTTATTGTATCATGAAATGGATCATCAATTGAAGGACAGAGTTAGCATACAGTATAAAGTCGAACGGACACAAAAATAAACTTACAAACGTGAGGGAAGTCCTTAGGTAGCATTCTGATGTGATCCAATGGAATACGGCCAGAGTCGCCATCATCAAACTCAACATTGATGGACCCAGCATCGGCATGAGGGTTTGGACTCGCTGTAATGTAAACACCAAAAATAAAATTCGGTATCACGAGTTAAGCGAGTCAAAACTATATGAATAAATGCTTTGTTTACAGTTCACGTTTTCAACGCATTGAGAGACATATTCCATATATTTTACATTACCAACAGTCAACAGAGACAAATTATGAGTGGCAAATTATGTCAGTTATCAAACAAAGGTTATAAACAAGTAGAAAAAAAGATACCTTTTGCCACTGTGCCTGGGTAGAGACAGCTGAATTGTTGGCTCCAGTAAGCGCATACACGGGTTCCTTCGAGAAGGCACCGAGTTGTGCTGGGTTTCACATCTACTATCTGGTGATAACAAACGGAAATCTAATTATAGTTCCGAGCATATAGATATCAATAAAACAGCAAAAAGTGATTGAAGTCTATAAAGACTATCAGCCTAAAAGCTTTTGAAATGTTTATCATAAAAGCAATGTTGTCCTTAACTTATCATAATTTTTCACAACATACCATACAAATCATCATATCTGGAAGCTGTTAAGGTTAGTATTTAATATTTGCTGTTGTTTTCTATATTGATATAGCCCAATATGTAGTTGTTTGTTGGTATCGAACACTTACCACCTCCTTAAGAATCTCTTCCTGAGAGTAAATGTGAGGTCGGTTGCCACGCTCGTTGTCGATGAGAACGCCGTATACGTCTGGAGGACGAATTCCTTGGACGGCTCCTTCATAGAACAGACCATCCTTAAACACCAGAACCCTCAGGTTGTCGGCAAGTTCATCCTTACTTATTGCACAGGAACGGGGCTCTGCCAATGGAACGTGAACAACAATGAGTGCATCAACATCTATAAAACAAAATATCTATATAGATAACATAAACATTTGTTTTCGTTTATTAATTGACAATATTATAAGATAAAGTAAATCATGTTCCTATTGGACATTTAGATCATAAATCAATAGTTAGTACATAAGATAAAGTAAAATATTATCCTATTTGTTTTTTATATCATAAATCAACAGTTAGTACATATCTATAAGAATATTTCACGGAGCATACAAATTTTATTTCCTTGCCCGTATATCTATATCCTTACCTGGGATAGAAGGCATTTCGCGTAGTACACTGAGTGGGATGTTGTCGCTACCACTACTATCCGAGTCGTAATCACACACTATAGGCTCCGACTTTGAACGCTCTTTCTTTCGTTTTGGCTTCTAATACATCAAAATAGAAAAACAGAAATTGGTACAATACAATGTAATCTGTATTCCAATCATCATTCGAAAAGTAGCCATTTTTTTTAATATGTAACTTCAAACTTAGTTGTGATTGCGTCAAATAAAACTTCTAAATATTTATGATATACAATTTGTTCACTGGACATGCTCACAATAATTTGAATATTTCTAGCCTGAATAAGGCTTAGACAGTTTCAGAATTTAAAACATTTCAGTAATTCGATTTTGAATAAACACTGGTAGATCAGTCATGTGATGACCTTACACAAGTTTCTATTTCACAGTTCACATATTTCTTTAACTCTCTATCTAGGGAAAACAGAAAATGCGTGAGGTGTTTTATCAATCTCCAATGAAACAGAGAGACACTAGAAAACATTATGGGTTATTTACATGTTTGGATTCCTTTGCTTTGCTTTTGTATTGGAATGCCTTATTGTACTTGTTTTTGACCTTCTGAGTAAGCTCCTTGATATTTTTGGCTTTCTGAAGTTTTGCTTTTTCACTCTTAGATTTGGCAGGAGAGGGAGCCGCTGAGGGTGATGACTTTTTAGGTGGAGGTGTGACCACTGATGAAGGTTTAGGGGTGTTCGTTACGACGTTCGTGGTATTTGGAGAAGGTTGCGGGCTTGGTTCACTTAGAAAGATCCGCTCGCTCCGTCGAATAAACCACTCCTGGTCTAGGTACAATGGCTCCATTGGAGCAGAGGATTCAACCTGAAATATGAATGTGTCAAAGCATTTCAGTATATGATTAAAAAAACTTTGATAAAAAATCAAAATTTCATTAGCATATGTGTTAATTGAATTGAATCAGTGCTAACCTTTGCCTTCCGTTCCTGAGCAGATGTATTGGAATGTGCTTTCACAACATCCTCAAAAGAATGGAAGTGGTAGAAGAAGTTTTTGGAGTTCCTTGCGACAATGGTTTCTGAAAGAAAACAGAAACTTTACATCATTGAAAGAGTAATTAAAGAGTCACATATTTTTTTTTAGAAAAATCATTTTATGGAACAAAGCTTTAAAATATCATATTTACTGACCTGTAACGCCAGGTGTCGTGTTAGGGTTACATTTCCGAGGTCGTCCAGGCTTCCGCTTTTTATTGACAGACGAGGAGCTTTCTGGCGTCGAATCCGATTCTGATTCTAAAGTAATCAATATAGTTTTGTTATCGTATACAAATACATGTAAATTAATTTTGAGCAGCAAGGTGTATGTTTCAAAGGAGGAATTGAAATTGGTCGCCATTTTTATCATTGCTGTTATTTAAACGTTACCAAAGCGAATTATTACTATACTTATATATTTTACAGTGACCTGTTTGGATAGTTAGTGCATTAGTAAACCAAATATATTCATATAAAAGAGTCGAATCTACATAAACATGCAAAATTATAGTTACAACATAACTATTTAAATATGCTAATATGTTAAAGTATAAGGTATCATGGGAATATTAAGAGTTAGTTACAGCGGAACACAACTAATGACGACAGAGGTTGATATGCTACCTCGTTTTACGGCAGGCGTGGTAGTATTGGTATTCGTACTGTTGCAAGCAGTGTTAACCTCTTTACTATCGGATGCAGGGGTATCATTTTGGGGTATGTCAGCAGAAACAGCAGTGGTGTCCGGCTTGAATGACGTAGTACACACACCTTCCTCTCGTTTCTTTTTATGTTTTTTGGTGGGAATACTCTCAGTTGCAGCACAACTTGCGTATTTTGCTAGTATACCCAGACCGCTGTCGTCTGCCACACTGGCCAACATGCCAAGCCCCGATTCTTCTGATCCATGGGCTTTCTCCTCTGTTTGTGGCAATTATAAACAATTACATGTGAAATATATCAATTTTTTGTTCATAAATTGATCTGTTTGTTGTTACATTAAAAAGAGAAAACTTTGTTGATAATATATATAAGTAGAATTATTTGATAAGGTAGATGTGTTACAACATTTCTAATTACAAATATTTTCTATTTTCATTTAAATAGTTTTATAAACAGTGATTATATATTTATTGGCTTACAAATTCAGGTAGTTAAAGTGAGAACTCACGTTCAGGTGGCTGAAGTAATTGCTTTGGTTTCGTCTGTTTTGCCACCAGGCCACTCGAGAAGCTCTCGGATTTCAATTCTGAATTTGTAATATAAATACTTAATTGAGTTTGTGTATATTATATGATCAAGTGAATACATTTTTAACATAAGGCATTGAATCCACATATATCTTGATCAATGTTTTTCCCTGTACAATTCAATGTATATCACATTTATTTTTTCAAAAAAGCGTATTTTTAAATACGCTATGTTTTCATTTTTAGAAACAGATTTTTACGTTTTTCTGTTTATGTTCAACAATAAAAACGTACTAGGCGTAGCAAAACTATCCTTGTTCGAAGGAGCCGCTTTTTTAACAGGTGGCGTAGGTTTCATGTTACCTGGAAATACACATGCATGTAGAAAAAAGTAAATAACCAGTAAAAATAAACAGATGAACAGTACAGTATTGTATGTTTTGTATATGCTTGCTGTCAGTTTTGCGTGATTTTCTTTGCAATGTTTTAAACGTCATTTTCACTCTTTAAATTATATCGCATTACTATCAATAACATCTTCTAATAATGGTCTATTATGGAACTTGTAGACATTAATATTGCATGTCTTCGAAACAGTTCAAATCAGTATGTTATATCTATGAAGCATTTGAAATCGGAATGTGGTGTCTGGAAACTAGTTAAAATCAGTATGCTATATCTGGATTACATGCCGCTTAGCATCTTTTATTTGCCACACACATGCTAGTGTGAATATCGCGTCTCTTTTTCTCACCTTTGGTGATGACAGATGTATCAGACTGTGACTCGTGCTTCTTAGGTACAGGTTTCTTTTCATTCATTTTTATGGAATCACCTTGGAAAAGCAAGAAATACTGTAGTTGTAACGATGCTTACTACCATTACTGTTCTGGTAGGTATCAGGTTGTTTTCAACATAATACTTCGTAATAGCCATGGACACTTATGCTATATTTGTCATAACACTTTTAAAAACTATTTCGCCGAAAACTATGTAAATCCAGTTTATAAGATACATGGTGTTACATCACCTTTATTACTTTGCATATGTCACAAAAGCAATGACACTAATAGTTACTATAAATAGAAGTTGCAGGTAGAAACTATCGTTTATATCAATATGATGTATGATTTGAGTAATTGAACTTACAAGATTTACCACCGCCTGGTAAACTGGATGTGATGCCCTTTCGTTTCACTGTAAAGCCAGACTGGGTTTTAAACAATGCTGCCATGGCGTTTGCTTTCAATTTCTTGCTGAGTGGCATCTGGATTAGAGAAGGGTAAGACATTATCCAACCAATTGATATTTACTCTGTTACGGTAAATGTACAGTTTTATTGTACTCTAAATAATTTGTTTTGCCACGATTCTTAACCATCGGTAAATTGAGTGACACCAATTTTCCGCCAAATTTCTGCCATCTCTATCTTTTAAATTAACTTACCCCGAATCCGCCTCCAGTCTTTCGAAACACTCTGTCCACTAGCTCTTCTGCCTGCTTCTTTTTCTTGACCACTGGCTCTTTTGTTTTTGCCTGGTTGGATTTCGGTCTAATAATATAACCAAAGGCACAAAGAAATTTAAACATTTTGTTGATATCTGAGATTATAAATGTGATTTATATTTAATACTATTAGGTAATAAACCTGTTTAATGACAAAATACCATTTGCAAAAAAAATATCCATAGTACTGTATGAATACTTACTGCACAGGTTCCGGTTTCGGTGTGTCTGACACTGTCTGGTGCTTCCGTTTTCTTGGCCGACCCGGCCCCCTTTTAGAGAGGGGGTCACTGTAAACAACAAAACGTAAAATGTAACTTAAAACACGTAAAATGTAACTTAAAATATATATACATAAATTGTTAATTGGTTTAAATAGGAACAGATTTTTTAAATTAATAATGCAGATGATAACGACATTTATCTATACTTAGTTGCGCGATGGGGTATATCATTAACGCGAACATATATCTATTTTATGTATTTCCACCATAGTGTGCTTTTATTAAAGCCCCGAAATTAAAACTGTAGAATGTTAAATAAATGTATTTGAACGCGTCTTGAAATAATTGATAATAGTTTTTTATCTCTGCGTAAAAGCTTTGGAGCGAAATATGGTACAATTAACATCTTCCATTTATATGGTAGAGGTAAAATCGGTACAACTAGGTGAGCTCCTCAACTTCCCATTCTGCTAAGGCAAGTGTTTCATCCCCAAGAGGATCAGTCCATAAAGCCTACATAGGCGATTAAGGGAGGAATTGGAGGAGAGATGAAAGTGTCGCGCTACTAACTGTAATGGCGGTCTGGATCTAGATCACACACCCTCCGATCAACATTACTTCCATCATACATTAGATGTCTCATATTTTCACGAAACATTAATTTTTATCAATTGCCTACCATCGTATAATTAATTCAATGGTGATGTTTTGATATTTTGTTCAAATACAGTGTATATTAGAACGTAATGTGAATTGCTCTAGGCATATATAGCACAACATTAGACATTACTCACAAGCGCTACCTACTAGTGTAATATGCAATTACACCGTCAACCAAATCATTAGCCCTTCAGAACACCGATCTATCCTCGGTTTACCACCAAAAACAATTGTTTCGCATTTGTAAACATGTTATAGAAAAGTATTGTTAGTATATCATTCTCAATAATAGTTTCTGAATTGCCAACGGAATAAGTGAATAAAAGTGAACATCAACTTTCAGCGCCGTTAAAATATAGATAAGCCGGAAGTACAAATCCAATGAGTTAAATCAAAAGGAAATCGACGAATAAACATGAGAATTCTGAACAAATTTCCAGCAGTACATATCTTAACATTGAATATCTTTTTAATTTATTGTATATTCATTTTCTTAAATAGTAAAAAAGAACATTCATATCGGGCGATTAAAAAGAAACACTTATAATAACAAACTGTTAGAATGTTGTTATCAACGGAGGACATTGTTAGAACGCTGCAAAATGAGTAATTGGTATACGTCTGTACCATAGATGTATGCGATCACTCGAGTATAGGAGGTCTTCACAAGTTTCATTGTATCTTTAATGACAGTTGCAACATTAGGCCACAGGAAGGCTTTAATGAAAATGACGCTACCATAGAATCTATAACCTATATGTATAAGATGAACATGGACCATTCATTCAATTTGCATTTGACATTTTGTGTGTGTGTGCAACAAACCACCATTTAATGAACACAACAAATTGAGCAATAGACCCAGACCGACCAAAGCCGTTTGATTTGACATAGAAAAAATATCAGAACTTGGCTCTATATATTTTACAAACACAATGAACATCCTTTCTTTATATATTTGTACTGCGCACATATCTAGCCTGATAAGATCGAGAAGTGAACATAGCAGCTTTCAATAAAAAGATCCAGGGTTCAATTATCTAAGTCGCCTTAAAATTGAATATTCAGATGTGATGTTTCTGCTCACACAACTACAATAACTGATGTAGAATATTTAATGGAACGATGCTGCTGTGCCTGTGTTATAATGTTCAGCGGCATTATTGTAATTTTTGGAGGCCGTGTCTCCCGTAAAACAGAACAGCAATGTGTTCCCATTACACACAGAGCATGCCACTATTTGAAAGGTTTAGCTAATTGGCATAGCAATCGTTCGTTTTATCCTATTGATTATAACATAAAAATATTCAAATCTAGCTGCACTTCCTGCTATAATAAGATTATAATTTCACACAGATATTAATTTGCATATTTCTGTTAACATAAAGCGTCAAATTAAATGCTTATTTGCTTTTTTTTCGTATACCACATAATGTTTACTTAAACAAAATTACTGTTGATATACACCTTCACTTCTATTTAAGATTTTCGACACTTACTCTTTTTCCCGTTTTGGATGAAGTTTCGCTAGCTGCCGCTGTTTTTCTTTATACAGCCTCTGGAGTTCGGCCAATCGAATGCGCATGTCCAGTTCGATGGCATTGATTTCCTCTTCTCCTATGTCAAGAAAAGCAGTAAGGTCTGTTTCCTTGAGTTGTAATGCGAATGGACACAACGACAGAGAAAGAGCACAAACACATTGGGATTCCAAATAAGATATAACATCATTAAAACAATAAGTATCCTGATGCTAAATACCTAGATTTCACCAGGAACACACTGTTATCTTCTGTTTAAAACGGATATGGCATTTCGATGTAACAATAACATAGGATACTTATTTGAGCACAATAACATGTATATAGGACTCGCAGTACATTCAACTACAATATCAATATACTTTTGAACTAAGTATAAATTTGCAACCTTCAAACGTTGTTACCGAAATGGTCAATACTTTTGATCAGTAATGTCGATTTCGGATGTGGTGATTATTTTCGTTTGAAGATATTGTGGTGTAAATCAAAATATATAAGGTATTTACTATTATTAACTTCTGTCTTTTCAAAGACCAATTTTGACGTAATTTTTACAAAAATGCATAATGACATTTTTATTAAAATACACACTAAAAAGTAATATCCCGTTTGTAACTAACTATCATAGAAATGATATAAAGAAAAAATAAAGATGGACGGAGGATATTCTGTCTGTGTTTTCACGGTCATTAACAAAGCTTGTCAAACTATCTCCTTAAACTTGAAAAAATCGAAATATGAAATAATGGAATATTAATTGAAAAGCTCTACTTAGTGGATACAAACTAATGCATAATACATGAGTTTATTTAAATATGTATCTGTCATTTTGACATTTAAATGCGCATCTTGTATCTTATAATTACATGTATATTTAGATAAGTTTAATACCATTCATGTGCATTAAAGCATATCCGTTTGCTTTGGTTGATGTTTCTGTAGTAGTTTCAGCATTTTATAATTTGTATATCTAGTAATATGTACTTCTGATGTTTCTGTAGTAGTTTCAGCATTTTGTTACTTTGTATATCTAGTAATATTTACTTCTGATGTTTCTGAAGTAGTTTCAGCATTTTATAATTTGTATATCTAGTAATATGTACTTCTGATGTTTCTGAAGTAGTTTCAGCATTTTGATACTCTGTGTATCTAGTAATATCTACTTCTGATGTTTCTGTAGTAGTTTCAGCATTTTGTTACTCTGTGTATCTAGTAATATGTACTTATGATGTTTCTGTAGTAGTTTCAACATTTTGTTACTCTGTGTATCTAGTAATATGTACTTCTGATGTTTCTGTAGTAGTTTCAGCATTTTGTTACTTGGTATACCTAGTAATATGTACTTTTGATGTTGCTTATTCATATGTGTTAATTAAACAACTTGTAATTTGGACGTACCTCTATCCGTTTATTACTTATTCTATTTTGTTGTGCAAACGTACTTTGAAATGGAAGTAATTTGCTTTCTATAAAATGATGTTTCCTAAACATTTCCTATTGTCTATGGTTGTGAACGACATTTGTGTTCTCTAATCAACTACAATGTGACTATTTTCATATAGAGATAAACAGAATTAAGTGTGATAATATTCACTACAAAGTGATCATTAAGATGAATATATTGTCCCACCAAAATCTGATCACCTAAAAAAAAATCTTATTATCCACGTACATCGTGAAGAAGGCCAATGAAAATTCATAACGTTAACCAGTACATAAAAGACATATCAAAGTAAAATAAAATCTGTGATGTCTATGTGACTTAACCAGATAATCTAAACATATATATATATATATCAATTTTACTCATGTATCATTTTATTTTTATGTGATTAATTTTCATCCATTCCTCCCATCTCTATCTACTACAATTATATTTTGTTTTCAATCAACAACGAAAATACATGTTCATTTCGGTCTATCTTGGGTCAGGATATTTTTTCTACTGAATTAATTCAGTGAAACATTCAACAAAATATCCAATTTGTCATGATCTGATTTTGATTGTTTTGTTTATATCATACCACATACATCGTAACTTCAAAGACCACGTTATTAAGTGTTTGCCTAAATCGATATTAACTTAATCTACATTCATCAACCTAATTTTCCCATTACTCGTAAAGACAACATGTAATGAATTTGCATAGAAACCATTTATGCCTTCACTTGCCTTTGATCTTTAATTGCGCTTTAGTTACATGAAAAACATCTACAAGGTGCATTTTCTGACCATGCCATACCGACGTGTGTCATCAAATCACTAAATTTGAAATAATGTAATAATGTCCATTAAACAGATCTAGTAACTAACGATGATGTACTCTCGTGAAAAATTTCCAAATCGCTTACGTATCTATAGTTTATCAGGTTAAAATCGAGCCAGTTTGGTCTGCTCTTGATCTTTATCAGGTGAAATTCCAACAAGCGCGGCTACTGATAGAACGTATGCGTAAGACCTAATCAATAGGAAGAGATTCTGTACATGTCAGAGAAGAGCTGTTCTGGTATCACATAAATTTACAGACACAATCTTCCCTGAAAAAAAACATGTTGTTGCACTACATTTCCGTTTACTTTTTCAAACTTTCTATTGAAACGATCTACTTTTTTGCTTACAGTGTGTCTGACATTATATACAGGCAGTAATATGGTTTGTTACCTTGTGGAATTTTGAGGCCCGTCGATGTATAGTAACTTGCTTGTTCGCTTTTTGAGTCACTTTTAGCAGCAGGTATCGACCGTGTGCGACTCAGCGGTCTCTTCTTGGATTGCTTTGGCGCGTCAGAGTTACTGCGTTGAACAGTGGGTTTTGGTTTCTCCTGAGTTGATGTTTTCTTTTCAGTCTTTTCGATTTCCTTGCCAACATTTTTATCAGTTGCTTCCTCTTTGCCCACAGGTGCCTTAGAAGCGTTGCCCATTTTTATTGTTTTTGTCCCCGAGGTCTCCTTTGAGACTTCAGGGGGAGGAGGAGGAGGAGGAGATACCATGAGGGATTCACTAGGGGGTGCCACGGGCGTTTCTAATGTCACACATTTTGCTCGTATTTCTGCGAGTGTGCTGAGAAGTTCTAATCCATCAGCTGCCTGTAGAATCTGTGGGTCTAGGAATGGATTATAATCACTCTGCTTAGTTTCATCCTGTTTCTCACTAATCACACCATCGGGAAGTTCTTCAGTTTCAGAACGCTCACAAACGTTTTGAACACACTCGTCAGCAGTCACTGATGTCGATGGTGTCATAGTTTGCTTTGTGTCGAGTTTATCTTCAGAAGTTCCATCTTTTGCCAAATCAGACTCATTTTCCGATTTACTGCAATTTTCACTTTCTAAAGATTGAATAGGATGGTCACATGACTCTGCCTTGGAGTCATCAACATTGCTTGACACTGGCTTGTCTTTGGTCACTGAACACGTGATAGATGTCACAAGTTCTGTAGAAGAAGAAGCGTTAGTAGTGCACGTTTGCACTGACGCAATACTCTGGGAAACATTTGTGATGTCCGTTATAATGTCACACATAGATTGTGTTGTAGATGGAGCAGCATCTATCACTTCTTGTGACGTGTCGTCGATCTCACTTGCCGGAACCATCGGCGACGTCCCACGTGATTGCACCGTTGACATTTCCGTTTTGACAGTGTCTTGAATGGGAATTGTTGGGAGTAAAGAAGGACTGTAAACGATTGGTAAGGCGGGGTATTGGTAGGACAGGGGCTGTCCATTGTGCAGTGTAAGATCTGTAACCAAAAAAAACGAAATGTTCAAGCTACTCGAACAAGGATAATTTTCAAAATTACAACACTATTATACAACATTTGTTTAATAATCTGGCTTTTCAGGATCAAAATTTTAAATAATTTTCCAGATTTTAAAGATATTGAAGAATGATGTAAGATGGAAACCCGGTCTCACTGTATTTCATATTTTTCATTAAGTGAGATATCAATGAACATTGAAACGTAGGAAAGATATTTTATCACTGTACCTTGAGAGGGTGGGTGGGGAACAACTGATGCTGGTTTGCCGGTGTGGTCGGCGTCTGTGGACGGACAGGGAACTTTGCTGGAACTATGGATTTCTTTGGCAGCCGTATTTTCGAATGATTTTGAGTGGTCAACTATGGCAGGCTGACCTGATGGAGGTGCGCATGTCTCAGATGACCCAGTTTCTGGACGTGATTGATACTGCAATGTATATAATGACACAGTCAAAATGTGAGTTTCCCGAAGATTAGTTTCTTTTTGCGTTCCTGTTACCTTTCTTGACTTATCCTATCATGATTTTTATTCATATTTATCATAATGTGCTTCTAGTTAGAAATAAAGGTTGTCTATTTAACTCACTAGATGCTGTAATTGTTGTTGGTACTGCTGAACTGCGAGGGCAAAATCTGCAGTAGGTTGTCGATCTCCAGGGTGACCGATCACCTGGTGTTGGATCTGGTTCTGTTGATGTACCGCCATTATCTGTTGGAATGTATTTGGGTGGGTCGAACTGGGGAATCCACCCGGCCACATCCTACTAGGGTCGTACATTTCTGTAATATAATAAGGTATGATACAAACCCGAAATTTTTGAATTTCTAAATGTTTTAAATGTCCTGTTTGATTATAAGCTATGACACATTTCATGCAGCTATTTCTCTTTCGCCAATGCATGAACCCATGAAAGATGAAACAGCTGCAAAATTTACTTATTATTTGACATTTATTGTATCTATGAGATATTAAGGTTTAGTAGTGCTATTGATGTATGCTTCTTTGAACGATCATTAGTTATCGTCGCAAAGTTTTAAAAGTCTTTCATTCAAGGGTATAAGCAAGTACAAAATCACTGACCTGTAGAAAGGTTTCAGAAAGCAGTATTAAATGCATGTAAAATTGTAAGAGTGTCTGTAGTTCTACCTAAATTTGATGCTGGCATGATGATCAAGTGCCCAGTGACCGAGTCCTGTACCAGTTTGTAGCCTGGGGGAACGGACACTGGAAGTTGGTTTGGATCTGTCGTGCCGGATGTTGAGGGAATGTTCGGTGGAAGTGTGAAGGGCATTTGCCCGATCCAAGATGCGGGATTCATGCCATGTCCAGTTGGGAGCCACGGGCTTGGGAAGTGACGTGCAGCTGGGTCGTCCGACCATGCGATCCCAGCTCCAGTCGCTGAACCTGAACGCATGGCATAGAATAATTAATATGAAAGATAGATATGTAGAAGAAAACAAACTTTGATTGATTGTTTGGTATTTCTTTTCCTTTCTCAACTAAACACTAAAAACTCACCAGTGACAATGAGATTTGCCGGGAGTGTGTTACGCATGTCGGGACCAGGCGCATTTGGGGAGGTTGATTTTGATATGATTGGTCCACCGAAGGCGCTTGGTTGTCTGAAAAAGAAGCGCTGTCGTTACTGCCTCTGGATGATTAATTTAAGGGTATACAGTTCTACAATTCCTAGTAAACAGCTGGCAATTTTGACTTCGCTACTATATTCAAAGACGTGTTATAAATAAAAAAACTGAATGCGTGCTTTCAAAGTTATTGAAAAAATAACAAACGTTTTTGTAACTTTAAATTCATTTCATTTCTGTTACTGTACAGCTTATTGTGAACGAAGTAATTAAGCCTCACCCATCGCCCCCTCTGTGATGGACCGCCGTAATAGGGTGTGGCTCCCCGTCCCCCGGACTCCTCCGGACATCACCGGTATTCCTGCCGAGGTCTGGGGTAGAGTCTGGGTCTGGCTCTGAGATGCAGAGAAAATGATAGAATAGGATTAATACCACAAACTGGTCATAATTTTCTGTTGACACGACTTTCTATAGTATGTCCATTAACATTTTTTACAACGACACTAAATGTTAGTTTTTCGTGGGACGAAGTGGTGATATATCAGTAATAAGTACTAACGACAGGTTTACATGACATATTTACATTATAATTATAGAAACATACTGATGATTTCATCAATTCCAAAGAGGCTTTTGTGATTTTGTTTCTAACCTACAACTACCAGTGGCGCCACCTCCCATGGGATCGTTTGGTTACAGAAATATAGGAATCTACTTTTGTCAGCCAAATAGACATTAGTATTATCAATATCGCTAACGCACTGCTGATAACAGTGGCTGTTCGATGGAATACCAAACAAACAGACGGGAATATAACTACTGGGATGAGAGTGATTAATCAATGGAACGTGACAAACAATGGGGAATATTTCTCTTTACTTTTATTAACACTGGACGGGGGGTTCAGATGGTATAAGTCATAAAAAGCTTTATTAGATGAATAATAGGACAACGTCCATCGATGTGAACACCTTAATCAAATTATAAGGTGTTTTATAAGATATATTATAACCGAATTAAGAAAAATATATTTACAGATATGGCATATTGCAAGAAAAAGAAATATGTATTAAATACCTTATATCTTGACAAGATATCTTATCTGGAGTAAATAACATAATTTATCTTTGTGTAAAAAAAAGTATTTCAATCAGCAAAGAATAGCTATCTTTCATTATGACCTCGTTGGCAGTGAATTATAAAATAATCTGGGAAAAAAAGAATCTTTTAATGATAGGTAAAAGCTGTGTATTGTGTCCATAGTCAAGACCCTTGTGCTGTGTCCATAGTCAAGACCCTTGTGCTGTGTCCATAGTCAAGACCCTTGTGCTGTGTCCATAGTCAAGACCCTTGTGTTGTGTCCATAGTCAAGACCCTTGTGTTGTGTCCATAGTTAAGACCCTTGTGCTGTGTCCATAGTCAAGACCCTTGTGCTGTGTTCATAGTCAAGACCCTTGTGTTGTTTCCATAGTCAAGAGCCTTGTGTTGTTTCCATAGTCACAAACCTTGTGACGTGTCCATATTCAAGATCATTGTTATGTGTCCATAGTTAAGAAATTTGTATTATGTTCATTGTTAAGAATGTTGTTATGTGTCCATAGTTAAAAACTTTGTGTTGTGTTCATAGTCAAGACCCTTGTGTTGTGTCAATAGTCAAGAGCCCTGTGTTGTTTCCATAGTCACAAAACTTGTGTTGAGTCCATAGTTAAAAACTTTGAGCTGTGTCCATAGTTAAGACCCTTGTGCTGTGTCCAAAGTCAAGATCATTGTCATGTGTCCATTTTCAAGAATTTTGTGTTGTGTTCATAGTCAAGGGTCTTGTGTTGTTTCCAGTCACAAACCTTGTGATGTGTCCATGGTCAAGATCACTGTTATGTATCCATAGCAAAGAGCCTTGTGTTGTTTCCATAGTCAAAAACCTTGTGTTGTTTCCATAGTTAAGAACCGTGTGTTGTGTTCATAGTCAAGAGCATTGTGTTGTGTTCATAGTCAAGACCCTTGTGTTGTGTTCATAGTCAAGAGCCTTGTGTTGTGTCCATAGTCAAGAGCCTTGTGTTGTGTTTATAGTCAAGAGCCTTGTGTTGTGTTTATAGTCAAGAGCCTTGTGTTGTGTCCATAGTCAAGAGCCTTGTGTTGTGTCCATAGTCAAGACCCTTGTGTTGTGTTTATAGTGAAGACCCCTGTGTTGTGTTAGGATGGATTAGATAATATTAACTTGAATGATATCTAATACAGACTGAAATATCAACATGGAATGTAGTGTATTTCCTTTATAAAGTAAACACTCGGTTTATGTGTTTTAGCTCCATAAAATCATCCTACAAAACAAATTGTAATATAAAAATTGAATATACAATGAATACGGGTAATACTGTACAAGATATCTTCCATAATATATAGGATTACCAGATATTATTTATATATACACCGTAAATAGAACAAATATGTTATAAATCCTATATAGAATATGGTATAAAAGAAATATGGCGTTTATGATTATCGTGACTAATGCAAGCATCAGAATAATGTCAACCTGATTAACCATTGCAGACCTAAGAAATATGCAAATTAAGGATATTTTTCACAACAGGCGCAACCTCAAGGTGAAAATCTATCTCAATATGAGGTAACTTGAAAACGTTGCCTCTATTTGATATCACACAGAAATGATAATAAAGTGCATAAATATGCCATTAGATTGTACTTTCTGTACTTATTTAGATGATTAAATTTTCGGGAAATAAACGGGTATTGATTTGATAGCATGGTTCTATATACTGTGATATGTTTAAATTCAGTGTGTGTTGGAGTGTAAATGGTTATCCGGCTCGTTTGTTTTAGCAAACATTTGGAATATCGAGTTTATTTTTTCACCGATTTTTTTCCTAAATATATCATGACACCGAGAAATGGGGATTATTATATTCTGAACATTGAGGCATAACACTGACGAGGAATAAGATATAAACATTTACACTTTTAACATTTTCTGATAATTTGATACGTCCATGACGTCTATCCTTTTATTGCTAAACATTCTGCAGAACTGTAGTGCATAGAATCCATTAACCGTTATTGTTCTGGTTTTTATTGATAAGAAAGGAATGAAGGCTCACATTAAAAGCCTTCATTATCGAGTAACAAAAGAAATTAAAAGTTATCATGTTGTATCATCTAACGTATCAAAAAAAAGGCTTCATATCTGTCCTGTTGCTATACAAAAATTAAATATTCATTAAATAGGTTACATGTAAATTTGCATCTTCAAAATTCTTAGTAGATCTTATTCTCTTATTTAATAGATTACAGAAGTATAATAAAACAATCACCAACATGTAAAATACCTATTTGTTACTTTGGCAAATATGTCTCTTCAAGGATTTTCAGAATCTTGGAACTACTTATATTCTACTAAATGGAATTTCTCAAAACTAAATGTTCTGTAATTAACTTTTTGTGTTATGAATGACATACATCGACACAAAAAGTATTTTTATTTTTGTGTTTTATCAATGTGCTCCATCCTAAAATTGACTGATTGTATTTCAAATTGAGGTCAACTCGACCTATTAGCCCTAACATCAATGGCTAGGGCGGAGTCAGCAACACTGGCGCGTGTTTGTCACAGCGACAATGGCGTATATGCACGCCAAATCAATATTGACCTGATACAGATGATATCTAAGTTTCCATGGCCTACTTAATATATGATAGCTTTTGTATTTCACTGAATTGTGCTACAATTAAAGAGAAACAGGAAAAGATGAATAGGAACCTGTACCATCGCAATGACTTTTTAAAACACGAAAAAATTGTGTGTTAGGCCAGTAGGCCACATGTGTATGTAGACAAGTATGCGTGATAATATTAGCCAGGCGCCTTGATAGCTAGTCATTCAGTTTACTACACACAGTTTTAAATATCATATTATCACAAATATTAAAATTGCAGCAATTACATTATTACCATTTTACAGCATTATCCAAAAACATGTTTCATAGTTAGACATTAGATTGGGCAGAATGGATTTCTATATTATGTAGGCACTACACATGTGAGATCTAAACCGAACACGACACCTACCTAATCAAGTAACAACACATGTATAACTATACACAATAACGAAGTAAATTCATACACAATTACTATTGCAAATAAACAATCGACATAACGATAGAAATTACAATTCTGTCGATATATTTAAAATCTAGTTCAGGGGCTCTTATTTACGTAGATAAACACCCAACTACGCATGTGCGGCCATAACATTAAACACTACATCTCTCCACTGTAACAGAGAATTACACCAGATCACTAACTTACCGACATTCTCCTCTTTGAACTCTTCTCTTTTCTGTGCCACGGCTATTCCAATAGGTATGTTCATTCCTGCGAATAAAGGAAGGACAGAAGGACAAGTTAGGGAGGAGAGTAGACCGCTCCATATGTACGTATTTGTGTAAGTATAATAGGGAGCGTCCTTCACCTTGCTTCAGCAGCACCAGGCCGAGAGGGAGAGAGTATTGATCGAGTACAATGTTTAACATAACTAATACCGTCAGCCGATTCAACCTACTGGCACGGTTTTAGCATTTCCATACGCAAGAAATGGAATTTTAAGTAAAAAAAAATAATTTCTATTTATCAAGGACCAAAGCAAATTCTGGTGTTTCAATTATAAAGTATTGTATTATGCAATGCTCATGTCATCACAGGCAGAATTCAGAAACCAGTAACAGAATATTCAGATTATCAACCATGAGAAAACAAAACTAAGATAACAGTAAATGTCACATTGTCCACATACATCTTTTACCAATGAAAGTCATTACTGTAAACTCATATATTTTCGTCAGACTTAACTTTCGTGGTTTAAATATACTGTCATTTACAATCGATTTTGTGGATAAAAAGTATTAACGAAATACATCAGTGCTTGGATACTTTGCCACCTAAACTGTTTATCACATCGTGGACATATTCGTGAATTCCTTGAGTACCAAAACAATCAACGAAAACAAACTCCTGACGAAAATGAATTATTTAACAGTATTTGAGATTCAATTGCCATGTCTTTTAATAATGTACGCGGAAAATAATCAAATAAGCAATGGAAAAACTTCACTTGGGTAGCAATATAAAATATCATGGCTCCCCAGCCAGAAACACGTTTGTCCCATCCCACAACCCCGACCCCAAGGGGAAATATTGCTGATCAATTTTACTTTAAAGAACATTGACCTAGAAAACATTTAATATCATATTTGCACTCTGGCCGTCGGGGCGTTTAAAAGTTTTCAGGCGAAATTTTAAGATTTTAAACAAATATTGCTGAAATAATTTCTACAATTTAATGGAATTTGTTTCCATAGTGATACATCAGTGTATGACATGTAACATAAATTATTAATACTGATACCTCAAAAACACAATGTCTATTATTTATAGGTTAAAAAATACAGAATTTTGATGGATATCTTTAAAAATATAATGGAAGCCGAATGTTCTTTCTGGATAGCTGTTATTTTAATTCTTCAATAATTTCCTATGAAACACTGAATATCTGCATGTGACAAGTATATTTGGTTAAAGGAAATAACTGCTTTATTTAGAAAAAAAACCAATTACGATATTGCTATAGCATCACTGTTTGAATTTCATTCAGTTTCATTTCAGGCTTACATTGAATAAATCAAAAGATTGTTTTAACATCAATACATAATTTTGTTTTATTTCTACATTCAGGAAGTAAACCCTAAATATGGGACAACCTGTGACGTTAAAGTATGACAGGAAATCCACTCGGAGGTCGTCGACAGACACTACCGGTAGACTGTACAATGAACATTGAAAATATAGTTAATGATTAAGACGGTGGCCTGACAGAAACTAGGTTTAATCAGATAACAGATGTTGCTAGGAAACGATTGAAATATATATCTCCAAAAGACAGACTCGAACACATTTCCTTCAACATTACTGATACTCTAGACACACCTAAACACAAAGCTCACAGCCGGTGTTATTAGAACTTAACAAACATCAACAGACTAAAGAATAGGAAATCAACATCATCTACAAATGACGAAAGTAATCCAAGTAGTCAAAACGTTAACGGTCCTCATATACCCCTTCTTGCAGGATCGTGTTGTTCTGCGACAAGAAAACGATCAAAGTAAATGGCATCAAGCAAAAACTGACTAGGTATGTGACCAATAGTGCAGAAAATTTTATTTAATTAACAATTTCCATTACATTTCATGACTAATTGTCTTGAAAAGTTTAAGAACACGATCTTATGGTAAGAGAAGCTTGGTACCGAAATGTCTGTAGACGTAAATACACAAAAAGTCAGGCAAGACAAGTCTCCGAAGCTACTCACAGAATCGCTTTTGATTTCATACGCTTCAGAGTCTTAGTGCAAGTTTGATAGAGAGTTGATTGATTAACGAAATCAGGAAGGACTTATTTAGAGTCGACACCAGCTTACTACCTCATATGATCGTCTCGTCCTTGTAATTTATCAGTGGCGCCAAAGGATGAAACAATGGAAACACAAAATCAACACCATTCAATATAAATTTAGAATCGGATACAGAAAAATCAAACATGAATTAAACTGCATCGTACATCTGTTTCGTCCTGCTAGGACTCGTCGGTGATGCTTAGGTCTAAAGAGTTGATACCAAGGAAGCTGCTGAGGAAAATGGAAACGGTTCGAAAGAAATGTCAATACCAAAATGGAGAAGAACACTTCCCCGCAATTCCAAGAATTCCATATACATCACTTTTTTTCAATGTGGGATGGTTCGAAATAACTTCAAGTACCTGTGTATATTTTAAACCATGTCACTATTCTAATGATTTAAACTTGGCATGCAAGTTACGACAACCCTCAGGGACAAAAGCTTACCGGCAGTGTCTCAAGTTAAATTTCGGTACATATATATTTACCTTAGCAATCCCTTTGATATGTAAGTAAATCGACCAACTTCTGCAATTTCCATGTAAAATTTATATCCTTTCAACAAGATATATTTTAAACCCACTTCGTTAGTAACTGGGCCTTTTTTCGACAATATCTAATGACTTCGTTAGTAACTGGGCCTATTTTCGACAATCTCTAGTGATTTCGTTAGTAACTGACCCTATTTTCGGCAATCTCTAGTGGATACCTGGTTTTGCTTGTCTTTACAACATTCACAGTCTAATGAACCTGCCACACTTGACTTGAATTAAGAATCTTCAAATAGATGAAATGAAAAATGCTTATTCGAAACTACAGCGAACTTAAATGATTTAAGACATAATTTCCATGTCCGCGGATGATAGACCACTCCGGAACGTTTTTACGGTGTAGTCCTGACATTGAAATATCATAATCTAGACAAGGCATCAAGACACTCTACAGGTTATATTACACCGACATCGATTAACCAGACTTAACGGCTTCATTAAAGTGGAATGTCCAGCAAAGAACAGTTTGCCTTGGTCAAGGAAGAGAATCTGTTACCTTCATACCATTGTCCGACCTCGACACTAATATCAAGAGAGAAGTATTGACTGGAGAGATATGAGTGTGAAAACGGATTAAGGAGGAAAAGAAGTCTCGAAAAAAAAAACTTTAGTCGCTTCCTACGATTATGCAACGGGAACAGCAGGTACAATTTTTACTGTTTACCTGCAGAGCTAAAGTGGTATGTCTGTTTTATATAAGATAGATAAAGTGGTATGCCTGTTCTATACAAAATAGATAAAGTGGTATGTCTGTTTTATATAAGATAGATAAAGTGGTATGCCTGTTCTATACAAGATAAATAAAATGGTATGCCTGTTTTATACAAAATAGATAAAATGGTATGCCTGTTTTATACAAATTAGATAAAATGGTATGCATTTTTATACAAGATAGATAAAGTGGTATGTCTGTTTCAGAAAAAAATAAATAAAATGGTATGCCTATAGAAGACGGGTTTCATATATTATACCTGCCACAGAAAAGATACACATGTGCGACTGCATTGCAAAAACAGCTACTTGGATTGGATTTCGCAAATTTGACTACGTCGCACATTTGTCTAATTACCTACCTTTACAACAGGTAATGTGTTTGCATGGCTTTTACACAAAATACTCTTCAATATGCTTTATTTAGTTCTACGAGGAAAAAAAGTCATTTCAAAAAATCTCAGGCTGAAGTATCAAAATTTGCAAACTTTTCGAAAGTGCCTTGTCTTTCCGACTTGATCTTCAAAACATTTAAAGCTGTATGATATTTATAGAAGATATCAAATGTTTACCTATTGATGACGAGCTATCCTCTTTTCCATGACCATCACACTTTCGTCGTGACTCCCGCGAACGCATGCTTTTTTCGTGAAGTTTGGATTTTAATTCCTTGGATCTACACTGCTGCACTCCACGAGCTAACGGTTTCACTGCACTCTCGGTTTTCGAGTTATTTCGAGTCTTTGTATTGTCTTCGTCTGCCAGCCACTGTTGTTGCTTTTTAACACATGTAACAGGAACGTCTTTTTCTTGGCAGGTAGACTTGGATGGATCCGCTGTACCTGGTGAAGGTGCGTCATTGTTTGTGACACGCTTAGACCCCGTTACCTCTACAGTTGCGACAACCCCTTTCACTGTTGTCTTTGTGTCGTCAGAACTGAGTGGTTTAACAAACCCTTCCGCTGTAGGTCGGATAGGAACCACGTGTTGTTCTTTGGTTGCCATTGGTTTCACCTTTTCCGCAGCCTTGCCAAGAACTGTCGCAGAATTTGTTACATTGTTAGATTTTGTAACGACAGCACTTTTTGCCTGTATCACCGGGGTTATACTTGACTGAGACGAACCAACAGAACCTATTGGAGACCTAGAATTCTTGTCTCCCCCCTCAGACATCTTAGGGGTTGCCTTTTTGGACTTCGCATCCCTTCCGTCCGAGCCTTTTCTGGATTGTCGAGTGGTCTCCCTTTTGTCATGACTTGGTTTTGAGGGAGACATACATGGTTGATGAGTAACAGCACAAGGAGACACACTAGTAGCACATTTGTCCTTACAACAGGAATACGAACCTCTTTCCTTCTTTATTCTCATATCACAAGCGGTTGTTTGAACGGGCATTGTTGTCATAGCAACCACACTTGGCAACGTTCCTATTTCCGGTGTAAAGGTTGGCGCATGTACTTTCTTCCCATCAGGAATACTGGGTTGTGAATGTGAATAAATCGAATGATAATATGGCAGAGAAAATGTTGTGGATGTGAGGGCGTCACAAGTAACGGGCACCGCACTAGCCTGCGGGGAGATACCTACATAAGGAAAAAAAGGTACGTGTAAAAACTGAACAAAGTCCTGCTTTTTATGTTTCACGTTTAATCTTTAATTCTGAATGATAATAATCAACTGAACAAAATACAGTTTCCCTTATCCGGTTTCCACAGAATGTAATGTTGACATAAAAGTATATCCCAAAATAACACAAGTTCATGTATTTTTTGCCCATTTCAAAAATAGAAATGATAAACATGTTTTCTTATCGATTCATGGTACATTTAGCCAATTCTATTTTCTGTTCTATAAATGCTTACCTCCTCTATTAATTGGCGGGGGTATCATACCGACGGATTTCGGGCTTAATTGTGGTGACGTCACGCTTTGACCGGAAGTCATGGTGACAGTTGTAAGAGTAGGGACAACTTTCTGTTTACATTCCTTTTCATTCTCATGAATATGTTTACAATTTGGTGACTCAACTTTATCGTCCGATTTGTTAATTGATTCCGATTTGTCAGTGTCCTTATCACAAGTCGTCTCATTTTCATCACGTGATGGAGAAATATCTTTATCTTTTTTGCGTTTGTCTATATGAGCGCGTGTTGGGGAAGTAGAATTTGATTTAGCTTTCGGGTGAGGCTGACTATTTGGTGACAGAGACGTGGTCACAACAACTTCTTTGCCATTGTCCTGTTGTTTAGCTTTATTATGTTCTTGTTTAACATCACTGAGCTTTTCCGTCTTATCCGGACATTTCTTGGAATCACTCTTTTTGTCATGGTCCTTTGAATGTTTTGTAGCTATTAGTGCCTTTTGTGAGTCAAGCGATTTTGTTACATGTTTGTTTTCCGATGACCTTTTGCTATCTCCATGTCGACCAGACTCTTTTTTGACGGTTAGATTCCCGGAATGAGTGAGCGACTCGGATGTTCGTGTTGACGGAGGGGAAATGCCGGAAGAGGTTTGGAAAAGCGCAGGCCCTCCTGGAACGTGAGGCGTACCGTTGTAAAGCGCTTCTGTAAGAGAAATGTTAACATCGTTATACTATTCTGTTCTCTTCTCGCCTGTGTCAGTCAATGTTCACTGATGTAAAGTAACTATACAAGAGCTATCCATCTTCCATATAATTGTTTATCGTGTACATGATAACAACAGCGAATTTATACTAAATACGACGTGCAATATTACGCTTGATGATATAATGTCTTTATATTTCATATTACTTATGTATCAATTATTTGTTATGAATGCTTATGAGTCGTAAGGCAGCAAGTTAAATAAACACACAAAACCTAATACTATTTCATTAGTATATTACATAACATACGCATCAATGCAGAAAGTGTTCTGTTTTTCCGAGCCAAGTCAACTTAAAGTGATTTAACTAAATATTATATACTAAACATTAACATATTTTGGCCAATGAAAGCCTAACTTTGAAGGTATCGTCTGAAACGAATTCTAAGTATGTGTATTCGCGATATGTCCAGATCCCCGCCGTCTTTTATGCTAAGGTACTATCTCTGATGACGACGTCTACCTCGATTATACAGCTCCTCTACTCATTAAAAATCTGTGTTTTATGTTGTAGGCTGATAACAGGTAATTTTGGTTGAAACATCCTCAAGACGTTTTAAATTACATGTATATTAAGTATTAGAGAATATCATGGATATTGTTCACGCGATGATTATGTCTAAAATGTTACGGGATGACTGTTTTTGGATCTGTCATTAAGTGTGGTGAAGTGAACATGGTTGATCAGAAATTAATTCACCACCTGTTAATGTCCTTACATCATTTGCCATGAGAGATTCGTTTTGAGTCACCTGTGTCTTATTCCCTGACCGATGGTCAGACAAGCGGCCACTTAATCTGCCGCTTAGATATATTATATGTCTAACTCTGCGTGGTCCTATGAAATAGCATTAAGTATGTGATGAGTTCCAGTTATGAAGAGTGTCGGTACATAATGTTTACATACCGACTTCATCAGTTTAAACTAGTCAGTCAATTTGTGTGACATTGTGACACAAATTGGTCCGTCGACCCACAGACGAGGAGGAGGTAACGAGCCCAGACCACGTCTCTAAAGTAACCCTCCGTCGCCATGCCGACGACGTGAGGTTGTCTGAAACGTTAGAATGATTACCATCGTGTACCATGGTCGTGCGTCACTCTCTGCCACTGGATTGAAACTAATTTGGTTATAACAGGTTCTCCATACAGGACTATATTCCTACATTTCTCTGGTGGTTTGAAAACAAACTGTTTTGCGGCAAATTATTGCGAGGATAACCGTGTCACGGCAGATTCTGGGGTACCATGACGACAGGAGAGTCAATAAAACGGTTTTTTTTTGTTACTGATTACTCACGAAGTGTGTCCACAAAACATTTCGTGTACATTGAAATTTACAAAACCAGACATTGTCTCCGATAAGTCTAACAGCAACATTTCAGTTTCAAGTATATTTAAAGAAACGAAGTAAACGTGCCAGGTTAAATGAATAGGTCCCGCATTCAGAGAATGCTGGCTCGTATATGCGTTGCCCAGTACAGACAATTCGATACGAGTGTTCGGGTTACGTATAACTGCAGATTGAATCAATTCGTTTGATCGTGTTTCGGTTGTAGCTATCAGTCTGTCGTACATTAAGTATGCTATAACTGATCCTGTCATATGAAGAGGTTTTAGGCAGCTTCACATGTGTCGCCGACGTATTCAAATTACCCACTTACATCGAAAATGATTAATTATTGAGGGTAATTTATTTACCTGCTGTTTTGTATGGCTGGCACAGGTGCTTGGTAGAGTACGCAACATCTGTTCAAGCACGATATATCAGCAAATGCGACAATTTAATGTACTTTAACTATTTTTGTGTATGTTTTGTTTGTGTTCTATCGATTTAAGATTTTAACCTCATTCGTTTATCATAAATGCTCTTTTTTGTTCGTTTTATTTGATTTTGTCATGGATAGAAAATATATCGGTGAATTGTTAGAAGCTAGTTAACCATATGATAAAGCATACCTTTCTGCAGGTCATACATCCGGTGGTAGCTGATTGGGGCTGGACCGGAAGTGGGGGGAGGCACAACACCCACATTATGTGCAAACAGAGACAGAGACTCAGTGGCAGGTAAGTAGTTGAGGTAAGGCGAAGAATATATTGTGTTGTTGTTCACAATATACCTCGCACAACCTGTAGTATAAAATTAACTTGATTTAATATCATCTTAATAATATACACAACTTTTATGAAAAAATGTATTCATCGCAATTTTACTTGACAGTATCAATATGTTCCTCAATGCCAATTTTTTATTCTTCTATATATCTATGATTTATATACGTCTATATAAACAGAACCAAATACATGAAAGGTAGTCTGTAGCCTCCATTTCTGACATAATGAAATCATCAAAAAGTGAATAATATATGTAGGAATTGTTTTCAATAGGACTATGTGCCGGAAAAAAATTCTTGGGCCACTAGAACGTCATACGACGCCAACCCTAAAGTATACACAGGTAACACAGTCAAACTCCCATCAATAGAACGTCATACGACGCCCACCCTAAAGTATACACAGGTAACACAGTCAAACTCCCATCAATAGAACGTCATACGACGCCCACCCTAAAGTATACACAGGTAACACAGTCAAACTCCAATCAATAGAACGTCATACGACGCCCACCCTAAAGTATACACAGGTAACACAGTCAAACTCCCATCAATAGAACGTCATACGACGCCCACCCTAAAGTATACACAGGTAACACAGTCAAACTCCCATCAATAGAACGTCATACGACGCCCACCCTAAAGTATACACAGGTAACACAGTCAAACTCCCATCAATAGAACGTCATACGACGCCCACCCTAAAGTATACACAGGTAACACAGTCAAACTCCCATCAATAGAACGTCATACGACGCCAACCCTAAAGTATACACAGGTAACACAGTCAAACTCCCATCAGTAGAACGTCATACGACGCCAACCCTAAAGTATACACAGGTAACACAGTCAAACTCCCATCAATAGAACGTCATACGACGCCCACCCTAAAGTATACACAGGTAACACAGTCAAACTCCAATCAGTAGAACGTCATACGACGCCCACCCTAAAGTATACACAGGTAACACAGTCAAACTCCCATCAATAGAACGTCATACGACGCCCACCCTAAAGTATACACAGGTAACACAGTCAAACTCCCATCAATAGAACGTCATACGACGCCCACCCTAAAGTATACACAGGTAACACAGTCAAACTCCCATCAATAGAACGTCATACGACGCCCACCCTAAAGTATACACAGGTAACACAGTCAACCTCCCATCAATAGAACGTCATACGACGCCCACCCTAAAGTATACACAGGTAACACAGTCAAACTCCCATCAATAGAACGTCATACGACGCCCACCCTAAAGTATACACAGGTAACACAGTCAAACTCCAATCAGTAGAACGTCATATCGACGCTTTAACTTTAAGTATACTCAGGTAATACCGTCAAACTCCAATTAACAGAACGTCACATGACGCCCACCCTATAATGTACTCGGGTAACAGTCAAACCCCCATCGTAGATCGACACACGACGCCCACCCTAAAGTATACTTGGTAAAACTTACTATATTTGTTTATAAATATAACCATAGCAATCATATCTAAGTGAACGATAAATTATTCCGATAGAAATCTTCGTGACATATTTTAAGATAGCTGGTAAATGAGCATAACATTATTTTAAATAAACCTTATTATTTAATGCAATTATACAATTACAGTTATGAAATATAATGACGCATTATCATTTGACCGTATTAGTTCATATGATGATTTAACACCCACGTGCTTACCGACATTTTAGACATGTTTCAATATTTGTTGATGTCAGAGAAAATTATCATACATTCAGTTAAGTGCAGAAGAATAAGTAAACAATGTTAACAAATTTAAGTTGTGACTATTTTGCAGTTTCAAGTTGCAGAACGCTCTGACTAAGTGGGAGAATGTTGTAGGACGGCTGCTTATATTAGTCAGTGAGAGCTTGTGGAAGGGCATGTCACCTTAGTTATAGTAATATTGTGGTAAAGTTAATGTGATATTGTAGGAGAGATGGTTACGTTAGTCAGTATAATATTGTAGGAGAGCTGGTTACGTAAGTCAGTATAATATTGTAAGACAGCTGGTTACGTTAGTCAGTGTAATATTGTAGGAGAGCTGGTTACGTTAGTCAGTATAATATTGTAGGAGAGCTGGTTACGTTAGTCAGTATAATATTGTAGGAGAGCTGGTTACGTTAGTCAGTGTAATATTGTAGGAGAGCTGGTTACGTTAGTCGGTATAATTTTGTAGGACAGTTGGTTACGTTAGTCCGTATAATATTGTAGGAGAGCTGGTTACGTAAGTCAGTATAATATTGTGAGATAATTGGTTTCGTAAGTCAGTATAATATTGTAAGAATATTAGTTACGTAAGTCAGTATAATATTGTAAGAATATTAGTTACGTAAGTCAGTTTAATATTGTAAGATAATTGGTTACGTAAGCCAGTAGTTATATGAAGCTGTATTTCACGCATGCAAAACTGCATATTTTACCAATATGTCACACTTATTTTACATATAGATCTAGTCTCGCTAAATTGGCATATTAATCACTGACAGTGATACGATCCGTCAACATTATTATTAAATCACAGGGACATCGTACACAACATGTTCCATGATTAACTGCACCATATAGTGACACAGGTATATTTCATAATTGAGGTTTAAGGTAGGATTATTCTTTTCATCACAGATAGAATAATAGGTGAACAGAATAATTGAATACAATATGCAGGGTTGTACAAAAGGCACGCAAGTGAATTGCATTTTCCAGAATAAAAAAAGTATAAAATAGACACAATAGAGTCATCCCTGAATTAAATGGTATCAAACAGCTGTTAGGATCTTAATTGTTGAGGCCACTGAAGCAAATCAAAATAGCATGTTGATCTTTCAGAGGTACTTAGAGTGGATATCAATTCTTAATGCTATATACTTAGTTACAGAATAAACAAAGTATAACGCACTTTTAATTAATTTATTTTATTTAGTTTGATTTTAGTCGAGTCCTTAGTTTCGGTTTGTTTATCTAACAGAACAATAAAACAGAGTTAAACTTAAATTAATTTAAAGGGAATCAGTTTAACCAAAACCAAGCGATGATTATTGACCTTAAAGTATCAGAATCCTATCAATGTGTGTCTTCATATTGTGGTCAGGTGATCCTTACAGCGGGTTCCGTAGCATAGTTAATGTGTTCAGTGACATGGAGGAAAATACACAGCGTGGAATCAATGAGGAAATCACGTCCGTATGTCTTTGTGTGCGATAGTCTTTGATTGTTTACAATGGACATTGTGTAGTTTTCCTATAACTTTCTACTAGACACTGCATAAAATATAAGAAAAAAAATCAAATACGCTATATTTAAGATATCAGACACGATCATCAAAGTAAATAAATTAATTCTTTTATTAAGATATTTTCAAGCGAAAAACATCTAAAAATTTTCTTTATCTTGGTGAGTCGTTTCGGTAAAGACTTCCGTCAACGTGTTGTGGATTTTGTGCCATTGAACCAGATGATACCCCCAATGGGGAGAAAAGCATGTACGCTTCAAAACGGTAACGGCGTCGTGTGTGGCGCGGTAATGTTGAATCCCCATGGTACCTGGTGTGAATTAAATCCATACATCACTTTTGCGTTATCTCTGTAATCACGATGAACACATATTCGTAAATATGTACATTGTATTCTGAGAATATCAGTGCAATGTAAATGGGATGCAGATAGGTGCGCTGTGCGTACTTATATATCCCTGCATATTTTAATGTTATTGTATACAAACAATGTCCTGTTGTTACCACATCGTGAATTCTACATAAACGTAAAGAGGACTGTATACATTATTGGAATATGTCAATCTCTTAGGTATGACTGTGTCAATGTCAATGCTATAACTGCATCATCCGTATTAACAACTTCTCGTCAAGTTTTCAAATTAACATTGCTTATGAAAATGAAATTTAGGTTATAAAAAAGTCCTAATCTAATCATCAAGATGGGTTGCTGAGGAATAAATCCTATTTTGTGTCATCAGTGCCATTTCTGCACTGAAGTGATCCGCTAATACATTGCTATTCACGTGTTGATCGAGACCTTGTATACCTAATACAATGTCAGTCATGATATATTCTCCAAAATGGTCGCCAAGTACAGTGCTATCAATGTGCTCATCCTCGAACCGGGCTTCTCACACCTGCAATCAGGTCATTGCTAATAAGATGTCAACCCAGTCCTGTGTCAGCAGGAAGCCCAATTACTAAAAAACACACACTGGCAGTTTGAATCCAAGGTCTAAAGAATTGTAGGAGGAACGTAGATATTGTCTGGAAACAACGCGCTTAGACACACGTGATCTTTCAGGACAAGTACTTACCGTCACTTGGGTTATTCCAATACTGAAAGTCCGGGATAATGGCTTTAAGGTGGTCCCCCATTGGCGCTCCTCCCCCTCCGGACGATAGAAAGCTAGACATCATGGAGTACCCGCCACCTGTCAACACAAACCGGTAGCACCATTAATCCCCACAAATACCTGACATTGTGTAGGGTGTATTCATGAGTATGGAGTTGAGGGAGTACCTCCAAGCGTCTTCATGCATAGTGCTCGAGGCCGACAAGGATCGGAATGTTCGACCCGATGACGTAATACGCACATGATGGCAGCACGACTGACAATTTACGACAGCCGTAATAAAATTTAAAACAAATAACTGCAGAGACGATTAGCCAATTAGTGTGCGGCTTACAAGTACTGCGAGTCGAGCTTTAGGAGATTGGCAGGAACATTACACACATTCGACGACTTGCAAGGCCAGGATCCCTACCAGTATAGAGGGGGAAATTGTCGTAATCTGGTAGTGCTCAATGCGTAAATGTCGATGGGTTTACAACAAATGTGGACAAAAACACAACACTTCATTATATATTTTTGTAATTTCTCTAATCTCTACATCAGAACAGTATGCGTGTGTGTAGTCTTACATCCGGCTTCAACTGGAGTCGAGTCGGGGGAGCTACAGGGCAGATAAAACGCTGCCAAATTGGAAAACCATCGACGTTTGCTAGCGGAACTCAAGAAACATTTGTATCTTTTAGTTGCTAGATGTAGTGACCGTGACCCGAGTACCAGAAGGACTCCAGAATGGTGAAAGTCGGAAGTGTGTCTGCTTCAAAATTACATCCCGGTGACCCGGCCAAGATTGCGGGTTCATTGACGTTCAAGTGCCACTGGGACGCATGGACGGAGAAGAGAAATGGTCTGTGGCATGAGATAAGTTTTCCATAATCTGTGACATTATGTCTGCTGTCGGATCGCACGGCTCCGCGGTCATCATGTTATGTTCGCTTTTATATACCAGAATAACTACTTTTTTACTCGTGATCTAATTAATGTAATGCTTACCTTAACATAGCGTTATTTTTTTCTCCGTGGATATCTTTCGGGATTGTTTTTTATGGGAGAAGAACTAGTAGGCCTCATTATTCTTACCGTAACGACCAATCCCGAAAATCCATGCAGATATCAGATTCTAAGAGTCAACCAAAGTCTTTACAGATTACAGTCAGTCAACGGCAGCTACGCCGAAACAACTAGTGTCCAAGAGCCACACAGAGACAACATGTGTCCATGAGGAACACACAACAAATTAGTCCCCTAGAGCCACACAGAAAAAATCAGTGTCCAAGAACCACACAGAGACAACATGTGTCCATGAGGAACACACAACAAATTAGTCCCCTAGAGCCACACAGAAACAATCAGTGTCCATGAGCCACAAAGAGACAACAGTGTTCAAGAGCCAAACAGAAACAATTAGTCCCAATGAGCCACACAGAAACAATCTGTGTCCAAGAGCCACACAGAAACAACAGTGTCCAAGAGCCACACAGAAACAATCTTTGTCCAAGAGCCACACACGAACAATAAGTCCTCAAGAGCCACACAGAAACAACAGTGTCCAAGAGCCACACACGAACAATAAGTCCTCAAGAGCCACACAGAAACAATATTTTTCCAAGAGCCACACACGAACAATTAGTCCTCAAGAGCCACACAGAAACAATATTTTTCCAAGAGCCACACACGAACAATTAGTCCTCAAGAGCCACACAGAAACAATCAGTGTCAAAGAACCACACAGAGACAATCAGTCCTACAATCAGCCTTCATTATCCAAGCGGTTTACGGAAACTACCAGCCTCTGGGATTCCTAAAAGGCGTCGATTGCATGTAAAATCATATGGACAAAAATACCTGATAGTAATTACATTATTTAAAGTATATCACTTTTCATGCTACATATATAATCCACTATTCCATCAACAGACAAGTCGTTTTATGTTTCACAGATTGTTCTGTCATGTCTCCTTTAATCAATGTGGTGACGATTTCACTCTCCTCTAAATTTTGCAGGAAGATCAAAATCAGTAAAAAGATGTATGAAAAGGGTTACACAACAAACAGGGGTTGGACATGCCATCTATAAACATTATATTTGTAAATATCAACAACCATACTTCATGTTACATCTTTGTATTTCCGGGAGTTGGAATCACACAATCATATGTTTGTAGAGTTTAACATGGGTGTAGTGGTGTAGATCATATTTTATACGGTAACTTAGTATGAATAGAGAAAAAAAACTTTTAAATGTTTTCACAAGTCTTTATAGATAAGAGAATGGGTATTGTAGAAGATCTATCAAGGAATGAGGGCAACACAGATTATATAAGGCTATATTTCTAACCCTTCATTGAAAATGATTTCAGTCAATTTGGAGTATAAATCAGACTTCAGAAAGGTCATACGTCAATGGGGGTATATCAATATATTAACGAAAACATTACACTGACAGTAGACTTAATCCCTTGCAGAATTCACGATTATCTATTTATATATTGTGGACAAATAATTATGATATTTTTAAAAAAAAAATACATAACGATGCGGTCAGAGAAAATATTTGAAACAAATAAAATCGATCACTTGTTGATTACGGATTTTATAATTAAATAACATCAATTAATATTTCAGAAATACAATAATCCGAGATTTATATTACGGAAATTTTCAGTGCCGTATTAAACTGTATTAAAAGTCAGTGCCTGGGTTTGAGCGGTATCTGTTTTTATGCTTAACATGATGTTAAACTATCAACTGATTGGGACTTTTTCTCGATAATTTTTAACAGGTCCAAAAACATAATGCTGACAGTGGAAGTTTTCAAATTTTCAATTAACAATAATAAATAACACGCCAGGAAGTTTGTTTCGACTTAAACTCGGAATAGCTATGTCTGTATTTATCAATGAACTGACGCTCTCTGTACAAGTAATTCATTCTCAAAAGGTTACTACATTTAATTTCAGTAAAGAATACTGTTCTCTTTACAGGATTCCAGAGATTAAAAAAACCTAGAGAAATTCAATTGCTTTAGATATATACCTCTGTAGTTCTGTTGATATATTTGCTGTGAAGTTAGCTTCAAAGAAGAACTTTTTGTTACACCAGAGACGAAATTATTTCGTCTTTGTCATTCGTTGACATGCACGGATACACTTTTTTATTCCTAGATCTTGGATATACTTTTTTAAAGCGTACTAAGTGTTCTCCAGCGACAGAGAGGCCCGAAAGTTTTATTGAAAATTGAAAGTTATTTAAAGATTGGTAATTTTGTATTCTATATGGCCAGTCTGTGGTTCCATAATGAGGAATATGGATAAAGAAACAAAAACGATACAATTTTAAGCTTGTAACGGAATTATATAATTTACTTACCATATGAGAGATGTCAGTCTGCTGAAATATAGGATAGCTTGTGATGTTGTCGGTACAGATACTTAAGGTTTCTATAGAATACGTCTACTCAATACAGCCCTTTAAAACGGGAATGTGTATTCACGGGTTTGACAGTTTAATTGACAAGTGTACGAGCGACTGATTACTGCAGCATAGTGGGGGCTTAATCATAATCAACAGCGTCATCTAACGGACACGACATCTCTGGGGCTAAAGATTGCGGAGGCTACATCTTCGGCGGAAGTTGCCTTTTGACATTTGGACTAACCTTAGTATAAATATCAGAAGTATTATAATTCAAATTTCCGCCGTCAGATACCAGAAATTTCACGAACGACATTAAGTATATTTTGAAAAGAAGTTAATACATATAAAAGCATTACAAGGGTTTGTCACATATATATTTAATGATCAGATTTGAGGTTTTGTCGACAGTTTAAAATGAAATATAATATCGACGGCTTATAGAATTATTCGTTCAAGTATTATTACACAAAGTTAAATTTTGAATAGTTCCAAATTAAGTGTACCTACCTAGGCTTGTTGTATGTTGTTTTGACTTTACTGTATGTCCGGGAGAGGATGTTTCATAAATTGAAATTATTTATACCTAACCCCCTTGTCGTTTCCATGACAATAAAATATATTTTAAAACAAAACAAAATCTGAGCGTTACTGACCCTCAATCCTGAATGAGGAAGCAAGGAGTAAGACTTAAAACTAATCTTCCGGTTTTAATTCTTTAAATATCAACACCATAAACAAACCAACAATTCTTACAAAATGAGAAAGATGAAAATGATAATTCTAAATAAATTACTAATTAATTGCTATATGCATACACAGGTCAACACATCTTTGTCCAAACTTTATCTCTCAGTACAACCATCTGAAATTATTTCAAGAATAAGCTTACTACTGTAAACAACTGTAAACAACAGCATATGTCCGCTCGTATTCGGAAAAAAAATTATTACAAATTATCTTTCCAGAATCACCCACCACATCAACCACTGAGTCAAGGATCCCGTTTACACGAAGAGAAAAACAAAATGTACTTCACCTTTTGGTCGAGTGTTCAAGTTTCTCTGAAAATAAAGTCGACTATCTGTGTTCCGGGTAAGGTCAGGAGTAATTGAAAAAAGTCCAGCTTTGCCAGTGGGCGGAATTATACGCGCATTACTTTGAAATACCAGCTTCCCCGGAGTTCCAGCAGTGGATTACTCATCCAAACATCAGCTTTCGCGAGTTTTGTTATGTGTACTTTTTGATATCTAGAACATGTGTAATGAAAATAGTTGAAAAGGTTTAAAACAGTGACCACGATTCAGACATGCCTTGCCTAGATACGGAATAGTCTCTATTTCGTATTTGTTCAGCAATATATGACGTCAGTTAGGGTGATATAAACGGCAATTCCCGTGTACCTTTCGCTGTAATTATATGCAGACAGTAGTGATTTGTGACTTTTCTGTTTCCTGGCGTGAAATATGTCCTCATCATAAACATCACAACCAAACCATTAAGCAAGTCTGACCTGAATAACACGATAAGATGGCACCAATTTATCTCCTTAATCCGTATTTGTTTTTGAGATCCTTTTTGTGGGAGAGGATTCCATCTTGATTTTCCGGCAAGCGTGATCAGAAAATAGATGACGTACACCGCTGTTCGCGGTGCCAGTATCTGTT